TTTTGGTCTATTTCTCATAATCTTCCTGTTTTTCAGTTTCGAGGTGTTTTTTATTGTTTCTCATTTCTTCTTAATCTGAAGCTTGTATTTCTCATTGAATCAACTTCTTTTCTATTTATCCACTGCTGCTGTGACAATAAAGCTTAATTTCTCCAGCTTGCTCCGGTGCTTTTGTTTCTATTTTATCCCTAGTACAAATATCATTTATTTTTCCACGTTTCAAACACAATTTTATAAAATATTTAGTGCAGTGGTTTTGGTGAGTTTCTTTGTCTGATAATTTGGGTTCCTCCCTCGTATGAGTATTTTGTTCGCAATCTAACCTAATTCCACCTCATTTTAGCCCCTTCATGAGCATCGGCAATATCCTTACATTGATCATACAGTTTTTCCTTCAAACTGTTCGGTATTTCGCATGCAAACATGCGTTCTGGCATGTCAAAAGCTACCCAGGAAAAGCTGATGAATTTTAATATTCATGTTGTCCTTTATTGTTGTTCTCATCTGACCTAGATATTTATAACTTTAGATTAACCCTGATCTTTGTCCTTCGAGGCGTGTGCTGACGTCTACTTGTTTGTTTGTTTGTATCTTTGCCATTGCTTTTGTTTTAATTATGTTGATTACAGCATGAGTTAAATATTTCCTGTCGATATTCGTACCTTTGCTGGACCAATCTATTCTTCTGCATATTCTTTCTAAGGCCGATATGAATATAGAAATATAAATATCAGACGAGCAACATAATTAGTAATCGAGTCTTCTCTGAAATGACATGCTTAACATACTCCGGAGGTAGGGCAAAACGGCCTAGAGACAAAGTTTCGATATCGTACAAAGATTTTTCTATTGAATAAGTAGGATCTGAAAAGTAGTAGCAGCGAGTTTGAGAATCCAAATGAATTTAGTTTCTCCAGCAGTATATGGTGATCAATTTGGTCGAAAGCCTTCTTGAAATCTGTGTAAATCACATCTACTTGTATATTTTGGTCCAAAGCTTCTGTAACATGCTGCCTGAAACACGATAGATTGGTTACAGTGGATCTCATCTCAACGAAGCCATGCTGAAATGGTGTAATAAAGCTCTTGACGGAAAAGTAAATATGTTTGTAGATAACTGATTCAAACATTTTTGAAAAATTACATAGAATGCTGATTTGCCCGTAATTTTCAAACAAGTGAGAGTCACCTTTCTTCAATATAGGTGTAACCATAGCTTCTTTCCAGATAGCGGGGAAAGATGATGTTTTGATAATAAGATTGAAAATACGATGTAGAGGTGTAACAAAAATACGGGCACAATCTCTTAGGAGAAAGCTAAGCACGTTGTCTATGCCAGCGGTCAGTGAGTCTTTGGATCGTTTTAGCGTATCTTCAGAACAGATATGTTTGGGTTTTTCAGACTTGTTAATTCAGAGTACGATGAATCTGAATTAGTGTATACACTTTCAAAAAATGTACTAAAGGCATTCACAATCTCCAAAGGTGTATCAATGTCTTTATCCGAAAACTTCATGTGTGCCTGGACTTTCCGTTTTTTGCTTGCACAAAGGACCAACATTTTTTGGGGTCTGAGAAGATAGAAGATTGAACCTCATTCAAGTAGTTAACATGCGGTCAGTGTGGGGGAGAAATACTTTTAAAAATATCTTAGATAAAGATATAGATATATGGAAGATAAAAGCATCTAGATACAGATTGTTTACGATTTTTTCGAAATGTATCTAGATACAGATACAAGAAAACATATACTTTTTGAAGCTTTGGCGATAAAATAACTGAAAATATGTTTATGTATTTTTCTATGTATTGTTTAATGAATTTTTTAAAATTAACAACATTTCGAACGTATTGTCACCTAAATTATTTCTTCTTGGTGTCAAAATTTGGTTTCGGTTACTAAACACCCGTTCCACAGGTGCAGAAGAAGGGATTGTGGTATTAAATTTAAAAAATAAACGTTTTACTGTAGCATAGTTATTCAAGACTGAAAAATCTTTTCTTTTTTCCTGCAAATATTTATTACGTACGCTTAAAAAGATTTTTTTTTTGTTTTTATTCCCATACTACAGTGTCCAAATTGTGTTTGAGTATATCTAATAATTATCTACAGCATTAAAATTAATATTTCAAAAGAATACGGGAAATGATTATTCTGTGCTAAAGGTCTGTTGTCCGCAACCTGTCATAAATTATTATTCTTGAATATCGGCTTACGATGTTTTTATCCCGGTGCGGCAGGTATATACATTTTAGGAAGAATTCCTGGTTCCGTTTAAGGCAAAATAAGTACAATTTCTTAGAAAGGTATTTAAACCCCTTATAGGATCAAAGGCTGCCTGGCAGGCCGGAATCACCAGAGTGCAACTTTAAATTTTCAGATTTTTGTTGAAACTCGTTTTATTTTAATCTCGTTTCAAGATTTCTGAGAATGTATCACGATAAATTATTGTACCGAGGGTTGTAAAAATATTAATTTTATTGCCCAAGATTTACACTTAAACATAATCGGCACATTCTAGGGCAAAACGGACCTGCCAAGCCCGCCTCGCGTTATGTCCAACAATGAAAAAGTGAAAAAATGACACATGTGGCAACAGGAAAAGATGCTACATTTGTCTGAAAAATAAAGGTATAAAACAGTAACAAACATGCGATTTATGCGAGAGAAATGTATGTATTGAACATTCAATTAGTCGATTACAGAACTAATTTGTGCTAATTGAAAAAAATAATCATTATGTAACACGCAATTATTATTTTCTAAAAATAATAACATACCTTAAACAAATATTCTTACTATTAAAATTACTCTTATTTAATAACACAAGTACAATCAGTGGGCCTGCCGGACCCGAGTTGCTCAGGTACACAGATAAAATGCATTGCCCCGACAAGCGTAAAACGCAGTGAATAGTGAATTGTGGCTTATGGTTTTTAAAATACCATCTTACTATGGCTTAGATTTATTACCCCTCAGGATTATATTTAAAGATGGATAAGTACTGAAGGCTACAATGTAGGAAATGATGGTATTTAAAATATGAAAATTTCCGTGACAGAACACTATTAGTGGACCTCTTACCTCTATTTTTGTTTATGTGACCAAAATCACCAACATGAAGTATCAAAAATTACTACTAGTATAACTCAACTAATAACTACTGAAAAAAAAAGTGAAATAAAAAAATGTATTTGTATCTGCGCCATTAATTTTGTATGTAGATACAGATATTTTGTGCTTATATTCGATTTTATCTAGATACAGATACTAGATACCCAAAAATGTATCTAGATACTTTATTTAGATACAAGTATCTAGATACTGTCCAACACTGGCTGCGGTGGATCAAAGATTTACACTTGGTACGATAGATTTTGAATAGGTCATAAAAATGTTGTGGTTTGTGTATGCGAAATTTGTTGTGGTAAAAATTTTTCAGACGTATTGCTTCAATAATTTCTGAGCTAAACCAAATGGGATAATGATGAGCTTTATGACTAAAATAGACACCCAAAAAGGCAAAAACTAAGATACTTTGATTTTGACTTGTCACTTGAAACGTCCCTTCTAACTTTACTTTTGTTTTCTTGCTTGTTGCTTCCTGGAGAAATAATATCTAAATTAAAAAAGAAGGTAAATTGAAATTAATTGCGGGAACGATCTGTGACTGAGTTCCGAGAAAGCTCATCTCTACAAAGAAACAGGAGAAATGTCAGGTCGAAAGATAAGAGAACTCCAGGAAATATTGGAAATGTTAAGACATATAATGAAGCAGATCCCTTAACATCCATGCGACATTTACTGCAGCAAAATTATGAAAAGATTTAGCACTGTTTACACATTAATTTTTTTGAGTGACTCTGTATAAGCAAATCTAAAAAATAAGGTTCTTAATTCGATCAATAAAAAATCGGTCTAATCCAGCTCTTTAAAAAAATATATAAATTTGATTTTACGATTTTGGTTTGGTGATAGCCGCTGTATAGTAAAAACCAGAGGTATAGATAACACCCCTTGTCCTTCAGCACTAGGTAATACCAATCAGACGCTCAATTGTTTATTTGTGTTTATACATCGAAAGAATGTCACCTAGAAATTAGTTTGATTTGAATGAGGTTGTCTTCTCAAAACAGGACTAAAATTATTAATTAAACCACAATCGAACAAATGGTCCGAGTATTATAATTTTTATTTTATCATTATTATATAAAGACGTGCGTATTCTTCACATTTTCGAGAAAGGAAGAGTATATTTTTGTATAACGTTCAACTCATTTTAAAATACGGTTCATTGGGATAACGTCATCAAATTGTTGGTGGGGATGATTAGCCAAATTTTGTCTAGGATTTAACCATCTATATGATACATAATACAAAATTTGACAACAATCGGTCCAGCAGTTTCGGAGGTTACGTGTCTAATAAAAATGGGTACTGACAAACAGAAATACGGAAACGGGAGATTATATTTTTCGTAGTGCAGAGGTCATGAAACCTCGAGAAAACATGAAAGTGACAATTCGTCCGATGGAGTCGATTACTATACTTCCGTAGCTTACGCTCGGGAACTAAAAATCATGACATTTTTTAATTTTCTAAATAACGAACTTTCTACGTTCTATTTACGTAAAACTTTCATCAAGCCTCTTCCGGTTTTGCGGGAACGTGAAACTCTCGCTCCATTCCTTCGGAAACTTTATTATATAATTTTGTTTCTTAAGTGGGCACGATCTCAGGATCTCACCCGCCATCTTATGTCGTAATTTAGTTCATTAGGCTCTGAACTTGCCTTAATTGATGTTTAAGATGGTGTACAGTCTGGGGAACAACTTTAAAGGTGCAGCCTCATCTACGAGGGTGGAATACGCAATGAATTTAATCGATATGATAAGGAAGACAAGATATCACTTAATGTATCGTTGTCGTTCGAATTTGTGCAGCGCTATCAAAAAACAGATTTTTTTTTATGCACGATATTAAGTGTTGGTGTTTGCAGAAATTAACATCGATTACTCAAGAACACAAGACATGCAGATGGGCGGGACAGGAAAATCCTTGACTAATTCGGATTTGAGTGACTGTGAGAGTGACATCGACATTGTAGGAGACACAAAAAATTTGGGTTATTCGTATAAGGGCGCTTAGAAAAACACCCTACGTCACAATAGTCTTTTGATTTGTAAATATTTAGATATGTATTTTGGAAGTTCGAAAAACACACGCAAACTACACTCTTATTACCACATTTGTTCTTCTAAAGTCAAAATTTCGTTTCTTTTTTCTAAGAAGTTCAAAGCGCTTTCGAACTGACAACTAGTCTGAGCTAATTTATCAAGGTAAAACAGGGTTAAATTAAACACAGCAGAATCGTAGAGACAGATCTACCCTGTAGATGTGTGTATCGTGTACATATTATCTTGAATACTTGTTAATAAAAACATTAGTTGAACCTTTATTACTTCCCCAACCCTTCCATCACAACAAGAGGCGCAGATACAAGCTGAGCATCCCTCACGCTTCACACCCCTTCGGAAGGTTAATAAAAGGGTGTCTCACGGGTAAGTTTATTATGAAATCACTTTATTATTAAGGACAACAATGGCGTTTTTATTGCGACGATCAGATAAATGAAAGAAATGAAGAGATTTAATAATAGGAGCTGCGTTCGGCTCTTGTTTGCACCTTTGAAAACACCGACTCGTTTATTAAATTTTTTCCGAAGGTGGGTTTAGCGTTGTTTTGATGGCAGAAGTTTGCCGGAGTGTGCATAACTTTTGTTCAGTTTGAGGATAATTAATTTTACAGACATTTCTCAGTTTTAATATTCTAAAACTTATATTTCCATATTAAATAATAAATACACTAAAAATTTTAGATGAATACTTGCATATGTAGGAAAGAATACAAAATGAAATTCGGTTCATCGCAAAATTTCCTGCCTTGTAGCACCATTTTCCACAAAGATAAGTTGTTTCTCTTTTTCCTTGATACCTTGGAGAAAATCTTGGCTTCGAGATTCGTTCTTTGATTTACATTTTTGTATCATACTTTTTGGTGCTACTTTAAGATCATAGGCTAACCCTAATTTAGCCATAAGGTCGATAAATGCAGTGTGTGTATTTCCACGGTAAGTATCTAACTCAGCTGCCTTGTAGTCCCACGGAAATGTGTGATGATAATTATGCCAACCTTCCCCGTGTGTTATATACGACACTATAATATTTTCCACAGGTTTGATCCTCCTAAAATTTATTATTCGTTTGGTACTACTCTTTGGACACAAATGGTACTTACCCATCGTAGGGTTTGGTGCCCCATAAATGCGCCACGCTGTTCACCAACCAGGTTGCATGAAGACTGACGACATACCGAAACATGGTGGCCAAACAGAAAGACACATAAAGGTGCTCGCCCCAAAAGTACCACGGTACTACAGTAGGAATAAAAATCGAAAGGATGAAAGTTAAATATCTAAAGTACTTTCTTTGAAACACCACTACGTCTTCATTCTCTAGATCACTCATATCAACAGTTTTGCCTTTTTTGATCACGTCTGGGTGTTTTCGACACAGCAACCACCCCATGTGGGCAAAAAAGAAGCCCCGGTTTATATTATGTGGGTCAGCGTGAGTGTCTGTGAATTTATGGTGGACACGGTGATCTCTAGCCCACACGTATATCGAATTCTGGTTAGCAATGCAATTACAAAGCATCAAAAAAATGCGTAAGGGGAGTTTAGCTTTATAGGTGCGGTGGGTCCAGAGACGGTGGGCTCCCGGAATCACACCCAGGTTGGAAGTTTCACCCACGATAGTTGCTGGAATCTAGGTTGTAGTTACTTATTTACGTCCTTGTTGGTACTTACCCCAGATCGTGGTTGCTACGAATGCGCGAAATGAAACCATGTAGTAGAAACCGTGGAGTGCCAGAAGATGGTACACAACCATGAGAAACACATTTTTCCAAACAATCTCTAACTGATAGTTTGTAGACATGGTAGGACTTCGTTCAGGGTGTGTGGTGAAGATAGGTGTCGTTTTCTTTTATACTTTTTCTGTTTAACAATTGTAATGAGGTACAATTTTACACAATTGAAGTACTCAAATAAGTGACCCGACAAATTTGAATAATTTTGTTCACGTCTTCCGCCGGAAAACAATAGACACAGTTTTATCAAAGATCAAAATGTGTGTGCCTCTGGCACGTGTACTTTAAGAAGAGTTTGTGAGTTTGTGGTTGAAGAAGGAAAGAGGAAATTAAGTGAGGAATTTTTACCAGGGGCAAATGGTACGTACTAAATTAAATATGTTACCAAAAATTATTTTTGCTACATTTGTCGTCATTTTGTCTTACTGGATATCATAACCGTAAAACGTTTCCAAAATTTCAGAGCCTTCGCTTTTACAGTTTCAGAATTAAGTTGCAAAATTATATTATACAATTTTGTTTTTTTTCCAAAAATCTGAATACAGTTTAAGAGCTGATAAATGAGATTGAGAATGCTGCAGCTGAGATCAGGGGAAATCTCGATATAAGAGCCCGATTATATAAACATATAAATTGATTTAATTCGTTAATTTTATTCATGTTGCTTTCGTGTTGTATTGTATATATTTTTCAATGGGTCTTCACCAGTTTCCATACTTTTCGACTTTTTATTTATTCTGTTATTGTTCTTAAAATTAAAAGTAAACTAAACAGGTAGATTCTGAGCTGATATAGAATTTTTTTTCAATTTCTGGAGACATACTGTCACTTGGATTGCAGTGCGTTTCCCAAAAGGCTATCCCACTTTCATCTTCCAAATACTGGCAATTAGGCAAGAGATATCTCAGAAAATTTTGATCTTTAAATTGTCAATTATGTTCTTTAGCACCGTTATTTTTGTAATTACTGTTTATGGCTTTTTTGTGTTAGAATTCACTAAAATAACATATTTATCCACCAGTAGGGTCTAAAAAGGTTGGATAAAGGATAATTTTTCCCTTATAAATAATACAAAATAGGTTTCTCAGATCAGTTCGTGAAGAACTAGCAATTTTCTTCTATGTACCTTTCCCTAACACCTTGTATATACGAATACACAAGCCACACATACTAAAAAATTCTTCTTTTATTACTATTAAGTATAGGCTAGGATGACACTACAGTATTCTCAAATTTTCGAAAAAATATGGTGAACTATTCTTAATTTAATCAATAAAAAATTTATCGAAGATTATTATTTGGACAGAACTTCCTTCGGCCCTTAAGTACAGCAAATTATCCAGTTTTTTTGAAAAAAATTACAAAATTTGAATCTGCGAATTTTATTTATTTATTTTTTTAAGAAACTCTGTAAATTAAAATTAAGGTATATATGTATATACCTACGTTTCAAATGTGTTTCTCCTTTACAAACTTTTGTGATGACGTCATCAACATTTTTACAAGGACACTTTTGAAATGAGGTCTTCAGTTTTCATAGGGGTCGTAAAGAGCTAAATTTCGGTTAACGATTTGCATCTTTCCAATAACCTTGACACGTTTGCCAGATTTGAGTACATTCGGTTAAACAATTTCAAAGTTACATTGTAACTTGTTGTTGTACAATTTTGATTTTTTTTTACAAAAATCTGGATGGCTAGAGTAAAAAGTCAACATGGATTCACAAGTTACAACTAGAGAAGTAGGTTACTTTATAAAATTTAAATAACATTTATTATTGTAAATTTTGGGGACAACGCTATCGCATTGTTGATGAGGATGAGCAGACAAATTTTTATTTTATCATCTACACGTTGTTCCTAATGTGCATACAAAATTTGACAAAAATCGGTGCTGTGGTTTATTGAAAGTGGACACAGACGCGGACAGACGGCAGACAGACAGACGGAAACGAAAAAAATACACGCATAGCATGCTTCTTCACTTGTACTTTAACCGTTTACATTATTTTATTTTGAACATATACCATATGTACGTCTTACCATAAAAAATTTAAATTTCCTAAAATTAAATTTTATACATAATTCGAATTCAAGAAGAGGTTTATTCAAGGAATAGTCCTTTGAATACCATTCATAATTAAGTGGAATATTTTTGCCGTGTTATTACGTATTACGCGCTTGTGGTAATTAAGTCCAAGTGTAACGCTCATTTCGTAATACCACGCATTATTCGTATTACCTTGACTACTTATTGTATTACATATGAAAATATAGTGTTTTTAATGCTCCTCTACCGGAACGCAAATGATACCTACTCCCCTGGTCAAAGTCTAACTGGCATGGTTTTTGCATATTAAATGTTATAGATACTCGTGCTAAATACACCAGCATGAAAAACTGGGTTTCAAATTGGCTGATGTTATTAATTTTTGTTCTTTTTTTTTCAATAATGTATATATAAGTAAGTATATTACATGCAAATATAATTACAAGTTCTGTAAAACAATAAATAAATTTTGTACTTTTCTCTAGTTGCACGTTTTGACTTCCCGAGCTCAGTGAAGTCTTATTATAGGTGTATTTTGTCGAATGTCTGATTTCCCGTTTCCTTCGGCCGTCTGGATGTTTAATTGTCTATTTTAAAATTCCGAAATTAGTATTTTCGAAAGCTTTTCCATATAGTATCCATTCACGATCTTTATATATAGTAAAGTAGGCTTTGATATTCTTTCTTTAAGTTCGATAAACTGATTTGATGATTTAGTTTTTTGTCTGTCAGTAGTATGATTGATATTTGCTTTGAGCTGGTTTGCCACTTTTCTACTTCATTTATTAGATCAGAATTATTAGACGCAATTTTGTAATCAAGCAAACAAATGTTTTAATTTTGTCAGCATAGATAAATTGTCATTGTGAAAGATTCACAGATCATTGCGACATTATTTAAAAAGAAAATGCCTAAAATAGTTTTACTGCAACAAAAAATTTCAATAAGAAGATGTTTTTTGCAGTTTCGAAAAGACAGGTCCGATCTTTCTTTCGAAGAAAGGGTCTCGAACATAAGGTATTTTCTGTAATGTAAAAATACGCTGCAAAATATTTTTGAATTTTTTTTCTCATAGGTGGGAACATCAACTGTGGCGAAAATTTTATCAACAGGGGAACAAAATTTAAAAACAGCACTATCTGGTAAGCGAAAACCAACGGATTTATTTACAAATTATGTTTCCGAAAGACCTGCAACGACAAAGTTGGCAACTTAATGAAAAAAAACACGAATATTTCACTGTAGTACTATTTTGGCATATTCTAGGAAACAGTTGGAATTTAAAGGGGGGCGAACCACATTATACAAAATTCTTAAGTCAATGGGTTATAAACACAGGGAAGTAAATGGTCGCAAAATTCTATGTGAACAAAAACATTTCGTTGCAGCCAAAATTACTGAGAACATATTTAAGGTTTCTAAATTCTTGTGAAAATTTGATTTTCGTGTATTTGGATGAAACATGGATCTATCAAAATGGTTCGTCCATTCGTCCCTGGGTACATGATACTGATCTAAAAAGCAATCCCACCAAAATTAAAGGTGAAGTATCAAGGTTTACTATTCTCCACGCGGGTTGTTCAACGGGGTTCTTGGATGGTTGTAACATTTTTTTTAATTCAAAAAATAACGATAGAGACTATCATAAAACGATGGACTGGACAATTTTTCAAAATTGGGTGGTTAATCAGCTCATTCCTGCTTTGGCAAAGTTGAACCAAAAATGTGTGGTGGTTTTAGACAATGCACCGTATCATTCGGTTCAGTTGGATAAACCATCCAGTTTTTCCAGTAAAAAATGTGAACTGCAGGAATGGCTCTTTAAACATAGTGTTGAATTTTATAAAAAATTTTCGAAGAAACAGTTGCGGGATTTAATTAAACCCTTCAGAAACAATAGAAAAAAAAGATATTTGGTAGACGAGACATTAAGAGAAAGTGACCATGAAGTTCTTGGATTACCTTCGTAGCATTGCCAATATAATCCAATTGAAATGGCGTGGCGATTTTGTAAGAACTATTACAACAGGCATATAAATTCTCAACCTTCATTCAAAAATAGTGTGGAGAATTTATGGCTTGAGGCGCTTTCTAAATATACTCCAAGCATGTGGCAAAATTTTTGTAAACATTGTGAAAAACTTATTTTGGCAGATTGGGAAAAAAATATAGGAAATCTTTCGTACGAACCTATACCTCCTTCCATTATTTCGGTAGGTGAATTTGATTCAGAATCTGAATTTGAAAATGACTGTGATGATACAGATTTTCATAGCGAAATAATGGGAATGGAGTGAATTGTAGCTTGTCGGGGGTGATATTTTTACGCATCTTTCGTTCTAAATTTACCAAGGTAGTGAAAAACTACCTGACGTACAACAAAATAAGTATAATTTTAGTTAGATCAACCACGTTGATACTTTGCACCAAATTTTAAGCATTTTCATTTTTTTTTTGTAACTCTTCATGGACCTGGAGAAGGCGTATAGTAACGTTCTTATTAATAAGCGTTTGTAAGTACTTAGTAAAAGCAAATAAAGAGCACTTACCTAACCATTAGTAATAGCTATATAGATAAATCATTCAATTTAAGGCCGGAAAAATGTTTCAGAAGAACTAAACCAATCAAAGCACTAGAGCAAGGTTGTTGTCTTTTACCAACCCTTTTAGTAATCTTATAAAACTGAAAAAGGAAGTTGGAAGATATGGAAATAGGCTGTTCAGAGAGGTCGAAATTTCTATTTCTAAGAAGAGTGGGCGAGCAGAACGAACTGATGATTGAGAATTAAAGATGAGGTGCTAAATGTGGCATGCGACAATAGTCGTATGTAGAACCCCCATTCATATAAAAACAATGCTTAAGTGAAATTTTAGTGTTTGTTCCCTACATCAATCTTCTATCTTCTTCTTCTATATTAATAAAAATGAATCGCCGAAATGTATGTACGCCCATAACTTCAGAACGGCCGCACCGAATTGGACGATT